CGTGTAACTGTGCGTGCAGAGGAGTGGCGGACTGTCATAGATGCCCGCCACATGAAACTATTTCAAAATTTGGATTTTTTTGCACGGCTTGCCAAAATATAGGTGTGGTGGGCGCTCACGTACTACCCGCCACTACTCTTTCAATCCTGGGGGCTAATTTGGAAGAGCCTACCTGTGATGGGTATTAGCTGATGCCCTCCACTGGAGTGTCCTTAGCTATGGCAGGTATCTGGCCCTGCCCGCCACTAATTTGAGTTCACCTATAAGGCTTTCCTAGTAGTGTTGGGCATCCCAAACCCGACTCAAATGCCCGGGCCAATGGCTCGGTCAGTAACCGGACAAAAGACACTAACTCAGATGGGCGCCTCAAAGGGCCTCAAACGCCCTGCCTGACTTGCACCCATCATATCCAACCCAAATATGGGGCGGACATGGGAAGGCTAGGGCGCGTCCACCACGCCGGACCCGACAAGCCTACCGCACCCTAAATTTCACCAAATCTACCAAACCCTTCCCCCTCCTCCCGCCTCTCTCCAACCTTTTCCGCATCTGAGCCCTCGTCGTCCGCCACCCTTGCTCCCCATTCACGCCACCGGTCCCGATCCGCCGCCCAATATGTCGTCCAGCCCGCTACCGACCGCCGCGACAGAGGCTGCATCCACCTCATCCATCGTGTCTCGACCTCGACTTCATCCTGCAAGCCGGAGAACATCGCCCAGAGGGACCGGCGATGGAAGCATTGGCAATTCATGGGAAACGAGTGGGAGAAGGCATGGGCCTCTTGTGATGCCTGGGCTACAAAAAGGTCCTCCATATGGACGGACATTTTTTCTGTGAGGGAGAACAAGAAAGAGGAGAGGTACAAGCTCATGTTGGAGAGGGTGCGAAAGGAGAGGGTGGATTGGGACCGGAAGAGGGTGGGGAAGAAGTTAGAAATTGAGAGGGAGAAGATCGAGTTGGAGAAGCATGAGGTGGCGCTCAAATGGGACCTCGAGAAGGCCAAGACATTTGGAGAGATTCAGCTTGAGAATGAGATGTTGCAAATCGAACGGAAGATGCGAAGATAATGTTGGCGGACGAAAGCCTCTTGTATGAGCATGCAAAGAAGATCAATGACCCTAGGGAGTACAAACCAGCGAGGTCGGCTACGGCAGTAGCATCAAATCGGGAAGGATGCATGCGGAGCAGGACGCGAGGATGGCCTCAGAGCAGGCGGCATGGATGGCGTCCGGCGAGTGATCCGGCCAGCCAACGAGTGGTCCTTCACGCTCGAACATTGATTACGTTTTGACATGTCCGGATTGTTGAACTATCATTTGTTTTTCTTTGTCGTATTTATTTTCAATTGTTGAATTGGAAAGATTTCTATCATATGATCGATGTGTATGGATTGCATAGATTTAAGGTTTTGCATTTGAGTTGTGTTGATGTGGGCCGTCCGCCGCTGTCCACGTATGGGTGGGTGGGTGGGGGATACGCAAGTCTGGCCGCAAATGCTCTAAGAGGAGTTGCAAGGGGGGCGTGGCCATTGTTTTGACTGCCGAGAGATGGTAAGTCTGGCCATTATTATGGCAAAAAGAAAGAAAGATGGTAAGTCCGGCCTGTCGGCAGAGCTCGCCTCTATATCTGATGATAGCGTTTAAGGTCCGTATGAGCAAAAAAATCTGGCAGATTAATTACCTTCGCCGGCGTTCAGTCGCAACACCGGCAGCGATACGTTTTTCAGTCGTGCCCTCGCCTTCCTCCTCCCGGATCCACCCCCACATACCATATCCAGCGTCGCAGATATCGGGCACGGCAGATCAGATCGGGATCTGGCCCGGCGACCACCGACCATGAGCAAGGAGTCGCCGTGCAACCTCCTGCTGCCGTTCTTGGACAAGAGCCGCCATTGGACGGCCGAGGAGATCAAGGCTGGCCTCGAGGGGAGCGACGACGGCGCAAAGGTCGACGCTCTGAAGCGGGCCATCATGCTCCACCTCAACGGCGACGGCCACACGATCCCCCACCTCCTCGTCACCGTCCTCCGCTGCGTCCTCCCCTCCAAGGAACATACCATCCAGAGGCTCCTCCTCGTCTACCTCGAGGTCGTGGACAAGCGGGACCAAGCCTCCGGCGAGGTCATCCCGGAGATGATCCTCGTCTCCCACCACCTCCGCAGCAACCTCCAGCACCCCAACGAATACATCCGCGGCGTCACGCTGCGGTTCCTCTGCCGGCTCCGCGAGCCGGAGCTCCTCCAGCCGATGGTGCCCGCCATTATCAACAATCTGAAGCACCCGCACCCTTTCGTCCGCCGACACGCGCTCTCGGCAATCTCTGCCATCTTCCGCCTGCCTTGTGGCGAGCAGCTCATTCCAAACGCGCCTTACCTTGTGGAGCGTGCCCTCGCCATGGAACAGGACCCGAGCGCACGGAGGAACGCGTTCCTCATGCTCTGCGACTGCTCGCCAGATCATGCCAACGCTTACCTGCTCGGCAATGCTGCCCGCGTCGCCGAGTGGCCCGTTGCCCTCCAGATGGCCGCCCTCGATTTCGTTCGCAAAGCCTACTCTCCTCGCTTCAGAACCACGTACATTGAGATCATCATGTCCCTCATCTCGCCATGGAGCAAAACTGCTGCCGTTGTAGTATATGACTGCGCACGCACACTCTTGTCTGTCTCCCGTGCACCGACGTTGATCCGCGCCGCTGCAGAAGCCTACTTCCGGCTGCTCACCTCAGAGAGTGACAACAAGGTGAGGCTCGTTATCTTGGACCGCCTGCGCGAGCTGTGCACCGCACACCGTCAAATCATGGTCTCTTTTGTCATGGACATCCTGCACTCTCTTGCAACCGCTGATGCTGATCTGGTTATCAGAAGTAAGGTTCTGGATTTTGTACTTGGTTTGCTCACCACACAAAATGTGGAGAAGGTCGTTTTATACCTCAAGAAGGAGGTTTTTAAGACAATGGACAGTGTCCTCGAGATGGCCTATGAATACTACCTGATGCTGGTGCAGACGATCCATGCCTGTGCGGTAGAGTGCCCAGAAGTGGCTGGATTGGTGATGCACATCCTCTTGGATTTCCTTGTGTATGGTGGTGACATTGCTTCAGCTTCGGATGTCATTATGTTTGTGCGTGACGTCATCGGGACCGATCCTTTGCTGCGTGTGTCAGTGATAGAGAGGCTGATTGTTTTGTTAAGTTTTATCCAGGATTCCTTCATCTGTTCATGTGTTCTCTGGATCCTTGGGGAGTACTGGTTTTCGCTATCTGAGGTCCAGACAGCCATTTCTACCATTATGCAGACACTTGGAGATCAGCCCTTCAATGATGTCTCTGAGAAAAGCGATGAATCTATTTTTGATTGCGCTCCTACAAGTGGGTTGTTGGATTGCACGCATAGTCTCAGACTTCTCATTATGTCAGGTGATTTTCACTTGGCCGCCGCTGTTGCGTGTACGTTGACCAAGCTTGTGCTGAGGCTGGAGGAGGTTGAGCCATCTAATAAGGTTGAAGCAAACAAGGCATCAGCAGAGTCTTTGCTGATGATGGTGTCCATGCTGCAGCTGGGGAACTCCTCTTACCTTCCCCACCCTATTGACAATGACTTATATGACAGAATCGTGTTCTGTGTTAGGTTGCTTTGTAGCACTGATAATGATCATGAAAGGAAGGTTTGGTTGATGTCATGCCACCAGAGCTTCACAAAGATGCTTGATGAGAAGCAATCTAGAAAGAATGAAAAGATGAAGGTCGACGCACAGAATGCCCATGCACATCCTGATGATTCCATTGATTTCTACCACCTGATGAGCAGGAGGGGAATGGGCCAACTTGAGTTGGAAGATGAGTTCCGAGATGATTTAAAGGCTGCAACTGGTGAACTCAACGATGCAGATGATGCAGATAATTTGAACCGCCCTATTCAATTGACAGGGTTCAGTGATCCTTTGTATGCTGAAGGATTTGTTACCGTTAATCAGTACCATGATACTGTACTTGATATTACAGTCATAAACCGGACAAAAGAAACAATGCACAACTTGTGTTTGGAGTTTGCAACAGCATGTAAAAATGCAGTACTTGAGCGCTCTGGAAAGTACACTGTGGCTCCCAGCGCAAGCGAGCAAATCCAGGCTATGATCAAGGTTTCTTCATCAAATGTTGGAATTATAATTACTCGCATCGTTTACGAGACTTCAGATGAAATGGGGACTTCAGAGGTGATCCTAAAAGATATGAGCATTAGCATTGCGGATTACATGACACCTGCTACATGCACTGACGTAGCTTTCCGGAGGATGTGGGCTGAGTGTCCATGGAAAGTTAAGTTGAAGGTCAATACCTTGCTTCATGATGAGAAGGCGTTTCTGAATTTTATAATCAAGTCAACAAACATGAACTGCCTAACACCATTGTCTGCGCTTGATGGGGACTGTGGGTTTGTTGCTGCCAATCTCTACGCCAAGAGTGTGTTTGGCGAGGATGCTTTGGTGAACATCAGCATAGCCCAACTGTAAGCTCACTGGCCACATCGCTATACGTGGCTATGTCCAAGGACTCGTTCTTAATTTGGCACATAAACTTATCCTTGAACAGCAGGCTACAGTTAACGCAGCCATGAGCGTGTGAGACGCGCCACGAGTATTGTTGTTACCCATACAACTAAGTGTTCAGTGTTTCTTTTTTAACACAGTTTTCAGTGTTCCGCAGAAAAAAATTCGGTATTATGAGAACTCCGTATTTTATTCATCGTCGTGAATATTACAAGTACATGGATGTTATATGCTCCCGTAGGAGTTTGCCTATCTGTTTGCAGAGTCCATCATGTAGAATACAGCGGTGCAAAATAAATTGAAGTTTGACACTTCGATATAAGAGATATAATCACTAGAAGGAATAAACATGAGGAGGCTTAAGGGCATCTCCAACATTGACCCACAAATTTTCTCCGCCATCCGTCCGCGGACCAGGGACCAGTCCGCGGACACTAATGCCGGATGCCGCCATCCAACACTGTCCGCATACATTTCAACAATAATTCGAACTAACCGGATAAAATTCGTTCAAATACGGTGGAATTCATTCAAGTTTGGTTACTATTTACATAAAAGGTCAATATTTCGACCGTTTAACAAAAAACTAGAAAACAACCTAAACCCTATATCGGACGACCACCTCTTACGCGTGACCACCCTGCAATGCCGCACCGCCGTCGGTGCCACCGTTGTCGTCGTCGTGGTCCCTCCACCAGTGGAACGTCACTGAAGGGCCGCGACAGCCTTGTCCGGCGGCCGCCTGCCGCTCTATGAGGAGCCGGTCCGCCTCCTGCTACACGGTGTTGACTGCCGCCGTGGCCACTGCCGACGTTGCCTTGGGAGCCCTGGCAGCGCCCTTGCCGTGGCCGGCATTGGCGGAGCACTCGCTAAGCGACCACTCCTCGCCAATCTTGGCGAGCTCGCCTTCAAGGCGGCGGCCATCTCCCCGGTGGCACGGAGTGGTCAAGCGCCCACACGGAAGGAAGTTCAGGATCATTGCAGACCCAACCTGGTGCCATGTTGCTCTTGGGGAACGCAAAGCAATGAGACAGGCATTGCGTCGATCGTACCACGCCTTCTTCCTTGCCTGCTCCGCCACGGATACAGTGGCCCTCGAGCCCAAGCCACCGCCTTAACCGCCTCCTCCGAGGTAGTGCAGGAGGCGACCCCGCGCCTTCTTGGTCGCGGAGGCAACTCCTCCATGACGGCGAGGCGATGGCGGCACGGCGGCAACGAGGGCGCGTCCATGCACCCGTACCGGCTGCGCGGTGGGATACCAGCTCGTCCTTGACCCGACGTCCGATCTGAACGCCAAGGTGGTGCGTGGGCGACGAAGGCTCCTCCTTGATGCAGCGCCCGATCTAGATGTCACGGTTGCGCTCGGGCGAGGCCGGCTCCTCCTTGCGGTGGTTTGGCAGGGACGGTTGCTCCTGCTTGACGTGTGTCGGCGATGGTGACTACAGGCCCATGCAACAGATCGAACGTTCCGTCATTACCTCGATCTGACGGACGAAATCTTCGTCCGTCACAGTGGCTTCCTTGAGAAGTCGAGGCGGCTGCTGCAGCATCTGGTCCTCCTCGTCACCGGAGGAGATAACTCGCTCCTCCTTGGGGGAGGAGTCGGCCAACATGGAAGCCGGACAACCCAGAGAGCGTCGGCATCCCAAGAACCACCGGACGAGGAGTTTCCACCGACTCTGCTTGCCGATGCAGAGCACCATGATTTCAGCATCGCCGCCGCCTGACTCGGAGAGGAGGAGCGGCTCGGGCACGGAGACAGGGGAGGGGAGGGGGAGTGTGCCTCCATGCGTCGCCAACGCACGGCTTAAATAGCTGCTGCCAGGCCATGCAAAGGGGCGGTCAGCCCACTTCAATGCGGCGCAGCAGCTGCATACAAACCGATGGCCTGTCCGAGCTCGTCCATGAGTGCTAGAGCCATCACAGATGCATGGCTCTGCCCAATCGCTGCAAATCTGGTATCCTCGGGCCCCCATTGTCGATTGACGAGCATAAAACAGACCAACTGACCTTGCATTTGCCGCCGGTGATCTCTTCTTCTTGGGCCCATAGAAATTATCATCTAACCCTGTCAACTTCAGTATAAAACTTCTTTGGCACTTTGAGCACTGTCATGGCAAAAGTTGGGAGCGTGCTGAGGACACTCCTTACGAGCACTCTTCTTCCCGCGATTGACATGAGCTTTCCCTTCCAGACCGCAAGCCTTCCCTTGATACGGACGAGGATGGACTGGATATGGACAAGGCGCAGCCTGGAGAGGGTTATTGGGAGGCAAGGTATCGGAGAGAGAAATCCACTGCGTGACCGCCAAAATTCTGAAGAATTTGCTGTAGGTTGATCTCATTAAATCAGATCGCCATTCTTGTGGATTTTGTTGGGTTAACTTTCAGGCCGTTGCATCGCCAAAATCTTGCAGGATGTTTAGGAGTGTATCAATCTTTGCCTTGATCAGGTTAGCGAAGATAACCACATCATCAGCGTAAAGGCTGATTCTCAAGGAAATATCTCTGCCAGCCAGTGGGGCAATCTATCTATCTATCTATCTATACCTCTATCTATCTATCTATCTATCTATCTATATCTATCTATCTATCTATACCTATACTAATTCTAGACTTCCAAGAAATTCCTACGTTAATTAGATTTTACGAACCGTTAATCTGGTGGGACCGTGTTTTTACGGTAGAGATCCACCCATGTAAGATTTTTTTTTCTATCAATGGTTTTTTTTGACGTAATCGTCTCTTAATTGTCCATCCAATCTCTACATTAGAACCGTTCGATGATTTTTTTTCTATCAATGGTCTTTTTTTTGACGTAATCGTCTCTTAATTGTCCATCCAATCTCTACATTAGAACCGTTGGATGAGGTACATGAAAGAGTCAGATCCACCCATGTAAGATTTTTTTTCTATCAATGGTCTTTTTTTTTGACATAATCGTCTCTTAATTGTCCATCCAATCTCTACATTAGGTAATTAGAACCGTTGGATGAGGTACATGAAAGAGTCCACTACTACTGTCCCACGTGCAGCCCTATTCAATAGTCCATTGCACCAACGAGTCTTCAATGTGGCATCTGACGTCTATAATCCCGTAGAATCGCTCATCCTCCCTTCACCTCTTCCACGCATCAATCCAGGAGACGATGCAAGCAACCTCTGCCCGTTTTCTTCCTCTTCAACCTTTGAATTCATGATTATTTGACGCCCAGAATCCATGTTGGTTGCTAAATCTTCTGAGATAGATGCGAAAAGGGTTCAATTTTTCCCCTCGCAAAAAAAAAGGGGTTCAATTTTTCTTCTTGAAATTAAAGGCTCAGAAAACCTTTCTTGAATAACAGTTTTCATGAAAAAAACATCCCGGGATAGATGACAAAAGAGATTGTCCATCCCATCTACACGTTAGTTAACAAGGTAAAGAAAAAAAAAACTTCTGGTATAGATGCAAAAAGGATTCCTCCCTCGATCTCCTATTCGCATGTTTCTCCCTTACCTCGCTTCTTCCCTTCCTCCGCTCCTATGAAACCACAGGCAGTGGGTATCATCGAACGATCCTAGCGCAGGTCACCCGCATCAGTCTCGGCATGCCATCCGTATTGCTGTCCTCAACCTGATTCTCTATTAATAACTAGAGCTAGGGCATCTCCCCGATTATCTTCAAGAATCCAATCTTGGAATCTCCAGCTTCGACGATCCAATCCGTCATCTTTCTCTAGCCCTGATTAATAAAACAATCTCATTATAGTTGTGGCCGCAGAGTAGGAAATCAATCCACAACAGTTTGAACCAGACGGGACACAGCGAGTACGAAATCCATCCACTACATGGCTGTTCGAGATCGTTGGCTCGGCCATTAGCCCATTACTACGGCGGACTACGGCAGATAACTCAATAAATATACGACTAGATTTCCTGATATTTTCGCTAGACCATTGTTTTTTTAATGTAAGTGCAGTAAATTGTCTAGATTTGGATCATCTGCTACAAAATTAATCAGTTTTGTATCTATGAGCATTGAGCTGCTGCTAATTCCGCTATACCATGTAGGGGGCAGAGAAGAACCAGGTGAGGTATTTTGCATCACCCACGACAGTTACAATGAATACCTGTTGTACGTCAACAATATTGAAACACTGGCCTGTTATACCTGTTACACTGCCATATTAATAGCTCAATTTACATTTGATTATCCATGTTGTTCTATGTTTGCCAAAATAGTTAATTACTTGATGCTTCGCATGTACAGGATTTTAAAATTTTAAACGTCGTTTCGCAGGTCTAAACTCATGTTTTGAAAGAACAGAGGATGTATTTTTCTCATACAAAGTTTTATGCCTTTTATGTTTTGAAAGAATAGAGGATTACCTTTTTCCATACAAAGGCTCATGGCTTTAGTTTACATAAGTTATACTCCGTTTCTTGCTATATCATGAGTAAGTCTTTAATAGCTGTCGGTCTTATGCAAATTCTGCACCTGAATTAAAGAATTTGTGGTGATTAATCATGGTCAGTGCGTACCACATGGTGTGTTCAGTTTCTGCAGTTCAGAGGAACCGTGAGCATGTATGTCCATCTTTCTTTCAATTTTGAATTCAGTGCTCCTGCTAGCTAGCTGTCTATATATACTGCATAGGAAGTGGATTTTTCAGGACTAACTCCTTTTCCCAATAACCACAAATTCCCACGTTAATTAGCATGCTGTGCTAAATAACTTAGCCATTTCACTGAATACGTGTGCTAAATTATGCTTCCCAGCAGAAAGTATATTAGTACCCTATATTTTAGTCTGGACTAGGATCTCATGAGGAAGTGGGAGAGGTGCCACTAACTAAAGTTCGTATTGCTCCTCTCTCACACAGATTATATACGCACTACATGATGTAAGAAATACGTATTTTTCCTCATTTTGATATGCTCAACTGTAGAAACAATCACAAAAATTGTTGATATGTATGCAATAAT